ATCCATCAGACGGGCTCGCGAGCCGCACCATCTGTTACAGACGGTCGGAAAAATAAAGGGCACAAATTGCCGCGGCTTCGCAGCCCTCTTTCGTAGCGACTGGGCAGCGCTTGAGTGCCCGGCTTCGATCGCTGCTGGCAGCCGAGAGCAGAGCCAAAGCAGGCGTGCTGTCACGTCGGGGACGAAGAAGTTCGCGGCACGCCGCGCCCGCGCCGCCCCGCAGCCGTGCGCGACCCGTGGCAGAAACGCTGGCGTTTCCCTGGCAGGTCTGTTCAAAATGGCATTCCCGCCTGAGAAACAGCCCCGTTCAGTGACACCGAAACAGCGACGGGCCTTTTTATCCTGTTAAATGCCTCGTTAAAAAAAAAAAAAAATATAATTGTGTAACAAAAAATAATTCTTTGATCGTCTCTGTGCAAGTCTATACTTATAGGGCCAGATCCTCCTATTCGTTTTCACTAGAAAACAAGAAGGTAGGTTGGGAGTAGAACTTCACTGTGAACTGGATACTGATCGGGCTTTCCTCCCTTGTAATGCTGTGCGTGTCTTTTGCAGGGTAAACTTTTTGACTCTACAGTAACTGATGAAGGAACATGGACGTTAGGTAATAACCTACCTCTGAAATGACATGATGAGGGCAGCGGAGCTTCTCAAATCGTGCCGCAGAAGAGTTTACCCCCCTTTTTTAATGGGAAAGATTACTTCCCTGGACATAGCTTTGTAAAAAAGACAATCATCATTGCCAGACTGAGGAACCCAGGTCGTACAAAAGCCCTAGAGATCAAGGTTAAGGCAAAAATGCCGTATTTGAGAAGGCGGTAGTCAGTGGATTACAGACACTTCCACGTAGTGAGAAGCTTTTTGCAAACCCTCGTTGAAGCTAGACAGTTTTGGTACCGTTACGTGCTCTGTGCCTCTCCATCAGCGTTACTTTTCTTGTTTTTTCTCCTCTTACGCATTATATTTTTGGGATGGGTGACAAAACCTACAGTCCAAGAGAATGAAAAAGCAATCTAAAAATCACACTAAGGTACCTACAGATAATGAGCAAAGAAAGCTTCTCTGATCATTAGATCATAAATATTGTAAAGTGTTCAGAATGTAAATTACTTCACCAAAAAAAATCCTGCGCTTGTTAATGGTGAATTCACCAAAACAGCAGAAAAGACTAGCACAGAGGACTGCGTTTAGTGGTTGTTTTGTGTGTCTGTTTTCATTCAACAGAAGACAGGAAGCTGATACGAATCGTTCTGATGAAGACAAATCGAGATGCTGGAAATTGCTGGACGTCTCTGTTGGAAAATGAGTATGCTGCTGATCCCTGGGTACAGGACCAGATGCAAAGGAAGCTTACACTGGAGCGATTCCAGAGAGAGGCAAGTTAAAGGACCGCAATTACTCCTTGTATTTGGTGTGCGCACGCGGAGGTTACGGCCATGAAAGCTGAGCAAAACTGTTCTGCTGTCCAGTGCCGTGGAAACGTGCTGTATAGTTCAACGTATATGGAATGCTCACGAAGCTTTATCGGTGTACTTGCAAGAGGTTACTCAGTCTGTAGCCTGGATGAAGGTTTTGTGAAAAGTTAAGCTGAGTGTGGGGGGCGGGTATCGCTGTTTTAGGGTTTGTTGCATAATGCTAACAACTTTTCACGTAAGTTAAGCTACACACAATTTTAATTATTATCTAGAATTATGACATAGCTATATTTACAACAAACTTCTAACACCAAGCTCTATTGAATGTGTTTGTTTATAACATCAGGTGATGCAGAGTAGTTAGCTGGAAATTATTTTCCTTGCCCTTTTACTGAAATTGCTTAAATTGTTTTAGTACGCCTTTAGCACGCAACTATTCCTATGCAAGTCTGCAGAGTTGTAGAATTACAACTTATTACTTAACGGCTGAATCAGCACACTATGGACTGCAACGAAGAACATGGTTTTTATGAAACTTGTTATCCAGCACGGCACGTACTTGTATTTTCAAACAGTAATTTCAAGGGACGCCAGAAGCCAGAAATTTTTCTTAAACTTTCCTCATTAGTTCTTTACTGGGAGATCCAACTGCTTGCCAAATTGAGAACAGCACCACAAAGCTACTTCAGCAGTAGGCAACCAAACTATGGCAATTCAAGGTTTACGTGTTGATGCATTTTCCAAGAATTTCCGTGCCATGACGAACGGATGACAAGTTGATTGTTGTACGGCCTTGTTAGAATGCAAACAGTTTGGGGACTTTTGTGTGTGGGTTGTTTGGAGTTTGTTTTTTGGTTTTTTTTTTGGTTTTGTTGTTTTTTTTTAAACTTTTTTATTAAGAATAATCTATCTATTAAACTTTTCTCTTACCTCCATCAGAACCCTGGATTTGACTTCAGCGGGGCAGAAATTTCTGGAAATTACAGCAAAGGAGGACCAGACTTTTCTAGTCTTGAAAAGTAAACTTTTTATCTGTGTTCCTTGAGAGGAAGGACACGTTACACTTGAAGACTGGAATCACGTAACTGGTGAAGACTTCAGTGATCTCTTCAGCGGATTGTTGTCAAGTAATTACTTCAGTGAAGAGAAAGAAGATCTCTTCCAGTAGAATGAAGACAAAGTGTTACCAGCTCATTTATAAGCTGCAATAACTTTCCAATACTAAGGGACAGACTATAGAGAAAGAGGTACATAAAAAAGTAACATCTTTAAGCAGAATGTTGGGTTTGGCTTTGTGGTTGGTTTTTTGTTTTTTTTTTTTTTTTTTTTTTTTTTTTTTTAGAAACATGATAGTAAACTAGTCAGTTATAACTATACCACTTGTCTTTATGCAAGAATATCTTATTCACCATTGAAGAACAGATCTTATAAGTGAGTTATTTAATATTTTCTCTTAACTTGCACCAGGAAAGACATTAGGATGGCTACAGTTACACATTCCCTCTGGAGCAGCCCCCTGAGAACTCATAATTGTCATTCTAAAACAGTGGTTTAAATAAAGGAACTACTGCATCTTGCCTCAAGTAAGGTTTTACAGTCCACTGTTCTGTCAAATATACCACTAACGATTAACACTTGCTACCAGGTAAGCGATACTAGAAAACTGAAAGGTCAGGTGAAAGTCTGGATATAAATAATTTTATGTGTTAATGTTATATAGCCTTTCAGTATAAATATTTAAGATTTTGAAAGTAAGAGAATATAATGACTTTTGAAAGGAAGTCCCTAAGTAGGAAATGGTATCTTGCATCTATTCATTACCAACATACAGCACAAGTTGTTGATAGCGTATCTAAGAAGGTCTAGGTTTTGTAGGTAGGTTTAAATTTAATAGCCACATTTTAAACTCAGCTATTGCAGATACAATATCTTGCATGTGCCAATTACATATCAGGAATTTTCTACTCGTTGTTAAGGATGCGGCCGAAAAGCACTCCAACCACAGCATTATACAGAACGAATGCTGTGTCAAACAGACTAACAGAGGAAGAAAACATGATTGCCAAATCCTGCTGTATTCTGAACTCTGAAACTACTGCCCGTACTTCAGTCCTAAGGCAGCAGTCTCACTAGAGATAAATTGCCAGCAGCTGTCCATCATACTGCTGAGCCTTATTTCTAAAATTGCATCGTCATTTCAGTTGGCATATGGCAAAAATAAAGCAATAGTTGAGGAAGAATGCTTTCATTGCAATATATCCAATGCTTTCTTGTTGTACGAGCAAGGAAGCATTAATACTCCTGAAATAATCAAGCGCGCTCCTTCTACCCATGCCATCTTTACAGGATGTAAATAAGTCCATACATTCTGCTTGGGTTTTAGAGAATTTGCCTTACTGTACAAAGGAAAGTAGCGTGGGATCAAGTGCTGATTTACGGCTATGAAGTTTTGTGTCTTCACCACGATCCTAGTAGAGAAGGTGGATGGTATAGCTAAGACATGAACAAGACTGCTGCAAAAGTAACTGAAGACAGAGGGAAGATAGAACACAATTAATGTTACATCAAAATGCTGAAGTACTCTCCAGTGAAACAGTATTTTTTGTTACAGCAGTTGGTTTGCACAGGACGCTTTTGGACATCTTTTGCTTATAGCAGAAGTTTAGAACGGCATCTGACAATTCCGTGCGTGAACTTACATTTACTATATGCACTTTCAAAGCTAAATTTTATGCCCATATTTTCTGCTTTATGAAGTATCATGAGAGTTATCCCACAGCTAAGTCCAAGGGTGATGACAAGGAAGCAGACACCTGTGAAGCAGTATTCAGGCATCAGAGCTCTGAATTGTTTTAAGAGGAAAGGTTTGAACTACTTGGTTAGCTACTTCTGTCATCTACTGTAAGTTACAGACCTACAGACTTCCAATTTTGGAAGAATCTAGATGAAAATAAAAAGGTATTGATGCTATGACTTTCCTTAATCAGCATCTACTCAGTTCTCAGTCTGTACTTTAACAAACGGTGGTTTGTGTTCCATCTCACAACAGTCTCACTGGGACTCAATCCCTTGCTGCTTAGACAAACAGAAACAGGTACTTGACAGATCCATGGATTTGGGTATGTAATACAGTCTCCAGAGCAACCCACGCTATAGGAAGTAATCCTGTGCACTTATTCAGAGTGCTACTCTGCTATGTAAATGGGTGGAGGACAGCCTACTGGCATTTTTTCATGGATCTGGTTCAAGATCAGCGCAGAGTAATGCCACAGCATTGCTCTCTTTATCGAAAGAACCGTAGCTGCTCTGAGTCATCGTTAGGCACAGAAATGCATAGCTAAACTCATACCTACTCAAACTGGGATGCTCACATCAGTGCAGAAACTCAAATCTTGGGATTAGAAAGCCAAGTGCCAGATTCTCCTAAGCAAGCACCATCCGTGTATTTACTGCAATGTATAGAAACCGGTGATATGTACTATTAGATAAATAATGGAAGAGGGTTGAAGTCCAATTTGAACAGTCTAAACTACTTACATCAGTCTTTTCTATCTTGACACTTTCACATCTCACAGGATTTTGAGTAATCGTGGGCCAAATTGAAATAATTTTAATCAAGAACTGTTTGAGTTTTTCCTGTTGGTTCTCTACCCTTTCCCAGGCAGCCTCAAATTCTTTAAAAAAAAAAAAAACGTGAAAAAATCTCCCTAATCTCTTACCTCCTGCCTGGAAGTTTTCCAGGTGCTGTTCAGATATGTCACTTCAGATGCTTCCTACTAAGACGCTTTATAACAAACAGGAAAAAAGTTCCCCAGTTAAGCACATTTCAATGTTTAATTGAAAGGTACATATCTTGATATTGAGACATGACAATCAGAATTGCACATTGCATCTTCTCCTCCTCTCCCAGTAGGCTGACCACACCTTTGTCCGAATCACTTGTATGCTTTCTGGAGGCCGGCACCATGCACAGATAGCACTGGCAGATGCAAACTGCAATTATATGTTATGCGGTGCAGTCGCTCCCATGAGGTCATGAGAACGCTTGATTTGTCCAGTACAGAGCTTTGGTATGAAGTCTTCCGTGAAAGGTGTAATTAGTTTGAGATACGCAAAGAACGGCTTCCCCCTCAGCTATTACCGTAAAGGGTCGGCTGGCTAACATCCGAGCCCACACTGTATTCAGAACTTTCTGATCTCTCCTCCACTAAGCCAGTTCATATGGCAATCGGTTATTAACAGCCTATCGCCAACAGCCTCTGCTCCGCAGTGACGCAAAATTCCAGAGGTCATTAGCAACGTTCCCCCAACACCTCTATTCATCTTACATACAATAACACATTCTTCTTATTCACTTCCTTGTTAGCACCAGAAGCACCATATGCCTCAAGTACTGATCTGGCCTTCAGAAAAAAGAGTTGTATTTTAGAAAGCTTACCATTAAAGAGATCAGAGTTGATGCAATCTTCAGTGTTTTTCAACTAGACTGCTCCTACACACAGGCCAAGATGGGGCTGGGGCACGAGCCCTGCTCCTGCTGTGCCTGTAAAAACGCACCTGTTCAGCATCGGCATTTACCTCGCATACAGTAAAACTAGAAAACGGATGTCAGAGCTGAGGCAGGTGACCCAGTACTTCCCCTCCGCCCTCATTAGGTATCAGGAGGCTTTTACACTACGAAATAACTCAATCTCAGTAAACTACACCTCTTATGAAATACTGAAGCTACTGATGCTGTATTAGTGACTACCTTTTACAAGGCAATGAAATAAGGTTTCTCTTTCCTCCTGCTCTAGCTACCCGACGTGTCCAGTGGGTATCCCATAGCCTCGTTTTTGATGTGTGTCTGTGGCAGGCGGCCAGCGCCCTGCCCAGCAGGAACAGGCGGACACACGACACTGCCCAAACAGCACGTCCGGTGGACTGACAGGCATTTGCTATGGTTGTCAATATCGAGCAGGATTGGTCTTGTTCGTCTGAGATGCTGCAGCACTGTGCTACTGCAGATGTTTTCCTAGCATCACGCAATCTTTGGGGCATGAACCAGATTTTTAAAATTAAATCTATAACTCAGCACCTGCAGTTATAGTAAACCAAGGTTAGACTACACAAGCAGCTCTACAAACTAAGGTGTTAAAATGCCTTGTATCGGCATTGCGGTATTTCACTGAACAGTAAACAGTCTAACAAGTAAGACTGAAAACTGACACTGAATATTGTTGTAATCATCACGAAAAGAACATATTTGCTGGAAGAATCTTTAGTCTGAAGCGTTACATATTCTTTCCATGAGTTGAGTTCTTCATTATTAAGGTCACGTTTCAGACTTTGTTTCTCAAATATTCATGTGTCTGTTGACAAGGTCAGAGGATGGTTCGTGGTTCTCCCCTCATTTTATTGTATTCCTGTAAAAAAAAACAAAAAACAACACAGTCAACTGAAGGGCTTTCTATAAGAGCCAAAAAAAGCATCAGACTTTAACACAGCGAGACAACAGCAAGACAGCTGTTACAGAAAATATGTAGCCATTGGAATTAAAGTCTAGATAAGGAAGTAGTTCCAAATTTCTAGAGGGTAAAAAAAATAGTAATATGAATAGCTGAATTACTGTTTGTAGACTTTACTAAATGGACAGTTATACAAGTAAAGCTGTATACAACTGTCTTCCTTTTACGTGGTTTAAGTGAACGATTACAAGAAACTCATCCTAATAGGCAACTGTTTCCTCTTAGCCGATTCTTTTTAGGACAGGAGCAAGCCAAGTTTTTTCTCTGCCTTTTTACCAGTTTTACTCCACATTTTAGTTTGAATGAGGTCCCAATGTCTGTAGAACCCATTTCTGCTCCCACAGCACACCAGAGGATCAGTTATTTCTCCAATGTTCATATATTAGGTTGCCACTTCTTTAGGCACAGCCACTGGCTCAAGCATAAACACGAGAATAGAGCAGCCTCTATGACAGGCCTACTGCGTTTGTGTTTCATGTCGTCAAGAGGTTACCTATACGGAATAAGAACCTTTGAGGTAACTGACAGCTAATTACTTCTACATTATCAGAAGCTGATTTTACAAGGAGTTACCTATTACGAGCTGGTCTCTGGAATTGTAGGAAGGCGTGTTATTCTGTAGTAGCTATGTTTAAGCTGCCGCGCTGTACGTCCAGACACAATCCATTTTAATTTCTGGACATTTGGTTTGGAACACTTGCTCGAGGAATATTCTGTAAGGCACTTTAACACCAGTTCTTTCCAGAAGGTCAAATCTCTGTTGTTTAT